GCGGGCCCCGCCCCACAGGGCAGCCGGCCCGAGGGCGGCAGCGCCTGACCGACGTGCGGGTAGCGGGGGGACGCGGGGACCTTTTCCCACCCGGCTGCCCTTCACAGCTGGCAAGCGGGATGCCTGCCCACCATACCCAGCCTCCTCAAGCCCTATTTCGGGAAAGCGAGTGGGACGGGAGGGATAAAGCCCTCTGCATGGAGGGGATGCTTGCTTGGTGGGACAGAGCACCTCGGTAAATGCCAGCGGAGCTCCAGCACGGAGTGGGGACAATCAGGGGCTCTCATGTCACCCCAAATTAGCAGCTTTTTTTCTCGCTTGCCCTTCCCTCCCTGCAGCAATGACATTTTGGTTGCCATTCTGGGCATCCTTTAATTGTGGTTTTGAACATCATCCATCTGCCTTGGGGTCGGGGGAAGATCTCCTTGCCTCCATGGGTCCCTCTGGGTCACTGCCACCCGCCCGGGACCCAGTCATCCCAAAACAAGGGGTGGAGGTGGCAGCTCTGGTTTTACGGAGCTGAGTGGGGAAATTTAGGAGCTAACAACGCCTGTGGGCAGGAGGGTGGGGGATAGGACCTTTCCAACGCTCTGTCCAACAGGCAGAGATTTTCTTCCCACCCAGTTTCCCAATAAACTAAGAACTGGGATTCCCAGCAGCCTTAACCACAAGCTCAGGAAACTGGGATTGGTTTGTGTTTTTTTTTTCCATCTCTGCGCCCTGTTTTAAGCCAGGCTCCTACCAGTACTGCTTCATTTTGACAGGGGTTTCATTTGCAGGGTATGCGGGGACAGACACGAAACGGGTCACCATTAATAAGGTCCTTTCCAACGACATCCTGGTGCAGCAGAACCAGTATGTCCAGGTAATAACCCATATTTCTGGTAATAATCAATATTTCTTGCAATAACTGCCCTAGGGTGGTGCAAACCCTTAAGGGAGGTGTTGCATTTTGGCTCTCCTCCTGCGCGAGATACTTCTGGGGACCGTACCCACCTGTATCCCCCGCCTCGACCTGCTCTTCTCAATCCCGTCCAGCGCTGCATCGACTGGAACAGGGACATCCTCAAGAAGGAGCTGGGCTTGACGGAGGAGGACATCATCGACTTGCCGGCCCTCTTCAAGCTCGACAAGCAGGGCAAAGCTGTGCCGTACTTCCCCAACATGGTGAGGGGTCCCCCCGCTCCTCAGGTCCTCGCCAAAAGCCAGCTTATTCAGCCAGGATGAGTCCCCAAAACTGTCCCAAAAAAGCCCAATATTTACAGCTGCCCAGAAAAAGAAACTATCTCCAGCCAGGCTTGGATAAGCCCGGGTCTGCCGCAACTTGGTGTTGCTTGTGGTTGAGTTAACCTATGTAGTTTTGAGGCAAAAACCTTTCAAAGTGGTGAAATTGCAAGGTGTAGGGCACGTTTTAATGATAAAGAAGAGGGAAAACGATGCTGGATTTGGAGGCCTGGGGGAGGAAGGCTGCAAAAAGTGGTGTAAATGTCCCATTTCTGAGTAAGGCTGATGGAGAAGGGTGGCCAGCAGCTTTCCTGCAGTTTCGTCGATCGTAGAGGCCGGTCCTGGCGCTACCGGCTTCCCCTTGCGTCATCCCACAGGTCACCATGATCGTCCTGGCCAAGGACCTGGGCATCCCCAAACCCTTCGGCCCCATGGTGGGGGGCGAATGCTGCCTGGAGCAACGGACCCGCTCCCTCCTCGAGCCGCTGGGGCTGCGCTGCCGCCTCCCCGCGGGCGTGGC